GTCTCCTGCAAAAAGAATTCTAGTATCATATCAGGCAGGTTAGTAATAAATAGCTACCTTTTTTTTTTTTTTTTTTGTAGTGCCTTTTGGTCACCAATATTGTACTTTTTTGTGTATATATTATCTCTAATGTATTATTATTTTTTAAACAGAGCCTTGTTCTGTCACCCAGGCTAGAGTGCAGAGGCCTGATCTCGGCTCACCACAACCTCTGCTTCCCGGATTGAAGTGATTCTCTTGCCTCAGCCTCCTGAGTAGCTGGGATTACAGGCGCACGCCACCACGCCCAGCTAATTTTGGTATTTTTAGTAGAACAGGGTTTCGCCATGTTGGCCAGGTTGGTCTTGAACTCCTGACCTCAGGTGATCTGCCTGCCTTAGCCTCCCTAAGTACTGGGATTACAGGTGTGAGTCACTGCCCCCGGCAGGATATGTGCATTTTAAAATTTCATTGGCAGGTTGTCTCCATGGAGGTTGTGGTTATTGATACTCCTACCACCAGTGTGTATTATAACACTATGGAGTGTCACAAAGCTTTTTATCTTTGCCAGACTGGTAGATAGGGCATCTTTTTTTTTTTTTTTGGAGAGATGCTTTTTATTATATGCAAAATACATTAAAAGTTAGAGAATATAGCATGATGAATTTCACAAATTGGATGAACCTGTGTAACCTCTATACCAGTCATTGCTCTGTCTCGGGCCTCTGGAAAGGTAACCATTATCCTGACTTATATTATCTTTTCATTATTCTTGTATTTCATATAAACATACAGTATGTGCTCTTATGGCTTATTTTATTCAGCATTATAAGAGATTTATTTTGCTGAGATTCATCCAGATAGTGTCAGAAGTTCTCAGTGAGATCTATATTTGCATTTCTATTGAAAGGAGGTTTAGCACTTTTTTAATGTTTTAAGCTTTAAAATTTTTATTTTCTGTAAGCTGTTTACATCCTGTATTTTTGAGTGGGGAATCATTTTCCTATAGATCTGCTTATATGTAAAGGAAGCTGATTGTCTCGGGTATGAGTTGTAATTGTTTTCTTCATCTAGTTGTGCCTTTTGATTTTGCATATGCTGGTTCTTGCCATAAAGGATTTTTTAAAATTGTAGTATCTTTTGTGGCCATTCACATTTTTTCTCAATTACTTGTTTTCTCCAGTGGCCCTAATGTCTTCTGAGCATACCATAGCTTTTGTTAAATTACGCTTTAATGTCATCAAAGGTGAAAGTGCAGAAACTACCTCTAAAAATGACAGTGCTGAAAATGAAATTTGAAGCACATGTACGTTGAATTATAGAAGAAATAGCTGACTGGGAGAATGTTGTGATGTCTTCATATGCAGCCGTAGAAACCTAGTGAAGGTGAGTTTATGGACGTAAGTGAGGAAAGTGGTTGTGATGAAAAAGAGGATGGCCTCATAGGAGGCGACACTGGCAAAATTCACCGTAAAGGAACTCTCTCCAAGATATCCATGCCGTTGAAAAGGCAAAGGATAAAATGTTAGAAGCTGGTACCAGCTTTAGAGTTGTGTGAAAATGCCCCAAGAAATTTCCCCAAGCAATAGAAAAGACGTTTGCTCTGTGTCGTAAATGGCCCAGTGCGGTGGCTCATGCCTGTAATTCCAGCACTTGTGGAAGGCTGAGGTGGGCAGGTTGCTTGGGCTCGGGAGTTCTCAACCAGCCTGAGCAACATGGCAAAACCCCATCTCTACTAAAAAGGCGTGATGGCTTTCGTCTGTCTTAGGTACTTGGGTGGGGTCGGGGGTGGGGGTGGGTGGGGGGTGCTGAGGTGAGAGGATCGCTTGAGCTTGGAAGATCCAGGCTCCAGTGAGTTGTGCTTGTGCCACTGCACCCCAGACTGGGTGACAGAGCAAGACCCTGTCTCCAAAAAAGAAGAAAAGATGTTTGCTCTTTGTCATAAGTTATATGAGAAGAAAAGTTGCTATTCAAAGAAATGAAACCATTCACATCGGTTCTAATGTTTTTAATTGCAATGTTCTAAAAGAATGTTAGCGTGTGTGTGTGTGTGTGTGTGTGTGTGAGAGAGAGAGAGAGAGAGAGAGAATGATTTTTTTTTTCTTTTTTTCCTGAGACGGAGTTTTGCCCTATCCCAGGCTGAAGTGCAGTGGTGTGATCTTGCTTCACTGCGGCCTCCGCCTCCTGGGTTCAGGTGATTCTCCTGTCTCACCCTCCCAAGTAGCCAGGATTACAGGCATGTACCACCATGCCCAGCTTTTTTTTTTTGAGATAGAGTCTCTGTTGCCCAGGCTGAGTTGCGGTGGTGCGATCTCTGCTCACTGCAACCTTCGACTCATGGGTTCAAGCAATTCTCCTGCCTCAGTCTCCTGGGTAGCTGGAATTACAGGCGTGTGCCACCACACCCAGCTAATTTTTGCATTTTTAGTAGAGACGGGTTTCACCACGCTGGCCAGGCTGGTCTCAAATTCCTGACCTCAAGTGATCTGCTTGCCTTGGCCTCCCAAGGTGCTGAGATTACAGGCGTGAGCCACAGTGCCTGGCCTATTTTTTAATATTTTCATTATATGTTGATAATTGATAGTAAATGTTTTTAATATCTAGACCAAAAATTTAAAAGTAATGCAACAATTCAGTGATTAAGAGCACTTTGTTCAGTTTCAAATTATTTTTGCAGTCCCACACTGTCATCTAAAATGAGAACTGCACCTCCCAAACTCCTTCAGGTGACTTAATTAGTGTTTCAGTGACTTCTTCATTGTCTCTTCTGACCTTCAGGTCCCTCATAGGTTAAACACATCTGCATATTTGGTACGTTTTTCTTATGAGTTTCTGGAGCTGCTGCAGGTCTCAGTTCTTGCTAAATTGTCAGATACTGATACTCATAGTCTAATGAGCTGTGTGAAGAATAGTATACAAGATAGCAGGTAGCAACAGCGATTGGATTGAAAAGTATTCCTTGAGTACCTACTATATACCAGGTACTGGTGTTAGGTTTTGGAGATAAATAACATTAGGTCCCCTGTGTTTTTTTTTGTTTTTTTTTTTCCCCCTTCACAGCCTATAAAGGGCAGACAGATGAAAGGATAATGGAAGAAGTTATAAAGAATGTCATAGAAGAATTTTTAATAAGCGCTACAGATAATTTGAAACTCTTTTAGGATGTTGCAGAATTCTGTGCTGTTTTCTATGATGTTGGAGACACCATAAAAAGAAATGACTCAAGGGACTTGGTGGGAACGAGATACACCAGTTGAGCTTCTGTATGTGGGTCAGGTGGCAGCATGTTGAGTTATATACCATACACAAAGGTTTTTTTTTTAATGCAGATAATACGTCATAGAACATATACTTGGGCAGCAGGTTCCACACTGATTATAATCTATGACAGACTACTTTTTTTTTTTTTTTTTCCCTCAGGTAGAATCTTGTTCTGTTGCCCAG